CTCCTGCGGCCATTTTGGGGGGTTGCAGATGGAAGACCTTTTTCTGTGTCTCCCTCTCTCTCTCTGTAACTCAGCCTCTTAAATATATAAATAAAATCTTAAAAAAGAAAAGAAACATGCCAGACCAATCTGTTCTCAACAAGGTATACTCTCAGGAAAATGGTGCGGCCAGAGCCTACTGGAACTAGAGAAGGGAAACAAGGACTGCAGCCCCCTCGGGGATCCAGTCCCCTGGCAGGGGTGGGGGCTGTGAAGCACTTTGAGGCCCCCAGTCCAGGGACACAGGGTTACTCAAGCTGGCACTTAATCATGGGATTCCAAGGCACTCCCCTCACTCCAGGCCACAGAACACTGCTAAAGGCCTACACAGAGCAGTTTCTTTGACCCAGTGTACCATGTTTAGCTATCAAGAAAAACTTACAAGACATACCGAACAGCAAAGAACACAGTCTGAAGAGACAGCAAGCATGAGACGCAGGCGTGGCAGGGAGGCTGTAATTACCAGATGGAGAATTCAAAGGAACCGGGATTCACACGTGAGGGGCGCTAATAGATACTAGGGTGGAGAACAAGGATGGCAGCAATGCAAGCCGTGAGACAGGCTTCCTATGGAGCAATTAAGAAGAAATTCTAAAGATTAAAAACACAGAAAGAGAAATAAAGAATGTCTCTGATGGGCTTATTAGCAGGTTGGACACGGCTGAGGAAAGAATTTCTGAGTTTCAGAACATACTAACAGCTATGCTGGAAATGAAAAGCAAACAGAAGAAAAACTGAAAAGATTATAACAGAACAGCCAAGGACTAAGGAACAACTACACAAAGTGTACATTCATATGTATAACGGGAACGTAAGGAGAATAAGAAGAAAACCATAAAAGAAATATTTGAAACAATATTGCGACTGGAAATTATCCCAAGTCAGGATTGGACCCCAAAGCTCCACTTCCAATCCAGCTCTTTGCTGTGGCCTGAGAAAGCAGCAGAAGATGCCCAAGTCCTTGGGCCCCTGCACCCACGTGGGAGACCTGGAAGAAGCTCCTGGCTCCTGGCTTCAGATAGGTGCAGCTCCGGCCATTACGGCCAATTGGGAGTGAACCAGGGGATGGAAGACCTCTCCCTCCCTCCCTCCCTCCCTCCCTCCCTCCCTCTCTCTCTCTCTCTGTAACTCTTTCAAATAAATAAATAAAACTTTAAAAAAATAAAATCAAACTTAAAGAAAAAAATCCTCCAAGAAGCCAAAGGAGGAAAAACATCTCACCTACACTGACAAAAGCTAAGAATTTCTCCTTAGGAACAATACAAGCCCAAAGAGAACACAGTGAAATATTTAAAGTGCTGAGAGGGAAAAAAAAATGTATACCAACCTAGAATTCTGCACTCTGGGAAATTATCCTTCCAAAGTGAAGGGGGGTGTGGCATACGATTAAGATGCCCACATTTCATATGGAGGTGCTTCAGTTCAATTCTTAGCTCTGCTCCCAATTCCAAACCCCAGTTAACTGCACCCTGGGGGACAGCAGCTGAGCAGATCCCTGCTACCCACCTGCCTGGAAGACCTGGACTGAATTCTCAGCTACCAGCCTGGCCCTGGCCCAACCTCAGCTGTTGTGGACATCTGGGGGAGTGAACCAGTGGGTAGAAATTCTGTGTCCCTCAAAAAATTGAATTTAAAAAAAATGAAGGAGGGAGAAAGGATTCTGAGAACGAAGCAACAGGTCTGTCTCTCCTCACCTAACTGACAGCTGCACTGGCAGGATCTAGTGCCTCACCTAACTGACAGCTGCACTGGCAGGGTCTAGTGCCTCACCTAACTGACAGCTGCACTGGCAGGGTCTATGCCTCACCTAACTGACAGCTGCACTGGCAGGGTCTATGCCTCACCTAACTGACAGCTGCACTGGCAGGGTCTAGTGCCTCCCCTAACTGACAGCTGCACTGGCAGGGTCTAGTGTAAAGATCCTGGAGCTCTGGCGTCTACTGAAAGCCTGCACCTTCCAGGTGAGTTTAGACTCAAGACTGGGACATTCAACACCAACTCCCAGTACAAGGGGAACTAAGCAAGTCAACATGAACACCAAGGAGAGGTACATGCTTAGAAAACACAGGGGAACATCTTGAGTTTGCACACTGTCTGGTACTTGGCACATACAGGGGCTATAGATGCCAGAGAAAACCACAAAACAATAACAAAAACATTAGCAAACACTGGGAAAATGGGGAGAATCTCATTTTCAGAGACACTGTAATATTAGATTCAAATGCCCAGTTATCAACACACAACTCACAAGGCATACAACGAAACAGGAAAGTACTGACTGGGTGTCAGGAATGAGTAAGTGGAGCACAGAGGACATTTCTGGCAATGAAAATTCTATGTATGACAGTATAGTGAAGGACATACAAGCTCTCATCTGTCCAGACCTGCAGAATGCACAAACCAAGAGCAAAGCCTAATGGAACCCATGACTTTGGGTGATTATGATGTGTCAATGTAGGTTAATTATTAAGACTGTACCCATCTTGTGGGGGTGCTGAGAATGGAAGAGGCTACGCGTGTATGGGGGCAAAGAGTACATGGGACATCTCTGGAAACCTCTGTACCTTCTCCTTTATATTCCTGTTACTCTAACATTGTTCTAAAAAATTAGTCTTAAAAAAAAAGAAAAAGGGGGGTGGGTGTTTGGCAGAATAGTTCAGATGGCACTTACGACACCCACATTCCATGTCAGAGTGCCTTGGAGTCCTGGTTCTGCTTCTGGTTCCAGCTTCCTGCTGATGAACACCGAGCAAGGCAGCAGGTGACGGCGCCAGTACTTGGGTCCTTGCCACCCACACAGAAAACCAGGATTTGGGGCTGCCGCTGTGGCATGGTGGGTAATGCCACCGCCTGCAGTGCCACCATCCCATATGGGCGCTGGGTCAAGACCTGGCTGCTCCATTTCAAATCCAGCTCTCTGCTATGGCCTGGGAAAGCAGTAGAAGGGACCCCTGCACCTGCATGAGAGACCAGGAAGAAGCTCGTGGCTATGGATCAGCACAGCTCCAGCCATTGCGGCCATCTGGGGAGTGAAACAGCAGATGGAAGACCTCTCTCTCTCTCTGCTTCTGCCTCTCTGTAACTCTGTCTTTCAAATAAATAAATAAATCTTAAAAAAAAAAAAAAAAAAAAAAAAAAAAAAAAAAAGAAAGAAAGAAAGAAAGAAAAGAAAACCAGGATTCAGGTCCCAGCTCCTGGCTTTGGCTTGTCCCAGCCCTGACTACTATAAGCTTTAGGGGGAATAACCAGCAGATGGAAGATCTCTCTCTCTGCCTTTCAAATAAAATAATTTTTTTTTTTAGAAAGAAGAAAAACAGGGTACCAGGACATCACGAATGAATGAAATATTCCAAGCATGGCTCAGTCATATAAAAATAGTGACTTTCTGTATCATGTTAGGAATTCTATTAAAGCAGCCCAAACTTCTTTACTGTTTTGGGGAGCCTCGTCACCAGTGACTCTTGCCTGGTTTCTGCTGAGGGAAAATCGTTCTTCAATCCGTACACTACCGTTATGCAGTCTATCCCTGTGTTCTTCACATTCCACTGCATCAGTCTGGTCAAATTTCACTTCTTCTATGTGCCAAAGACCTTTCCTGATGATTTCTACATTTTGGTTCATTATCGAAAATCATCCTCATTTTACTTCTTGTGTAACCCATTTACAAATTATGCAATATACCATCATTGCCCCCATACAAGTCATTAATAAAATGTCTAACAGAAGAGAAGGGACCCTGAAGGCTCCCGCTGAAGTTCTCTATCCAATGTACCATCCATGCTTTCCAGCAACCTCCTAAGAACACAACTATTAATTACAAAGCTACCCTACCCATACGGTCACTCAACTGACACCTCCCTACATCATCCTCAAGTACATAAGGCTTCTTACAGACACATCATAGACCTACAGCAGTATCCCGATCTACAAGTCCGATAAACTTCCCAGAGAAAAAACAAGGGTGGGTTTCTGGCATGCCAGTTAAGATGTCCCTTGGGACACCCACATCCTGCATCAGAGGGCTTGGGTTTAAGACCCAGCCCTGCTTCCAGTTCCAGCTTCCGGCTAATGAATAGCCTGGACACAGTGGTGATGGCTCCGATACACAGATCCCTGACACCCAAGTGGGAGCTCAGGGCTGAGTCCTGGGATCCTGCTTCACCCTGGCCCAGCCCTGGCTGTTGCAGGCAGTTGGGAAATGAACAAGCAGAAGAAAGGTCTGTCTCTATTTCTGTCTCTATTTCTGTCTCTGTGCCTTTCAAATAAAAAAAGTTAAAAAAAAAAAAAAAAAAGAACAAAGGAGAAGAAAAGGTTTAGTCTGTCAGGAGGCGTTTGGCGACTTCTCATCACTGCACTTGGTCAGTGCTCCATGAGAGGAGTAAAACACTGCTGTGTGAAGAACAGACTGACTACGTCAACTGGAAGCACAAACACAGAGGAACCTCATAGACTTAGGCAATGAAAACAGGACGACCATTACAGCTTCTCATTTAGTAATGAAATGTAATATTCATCATCAACATTTATAATATTTCCAATTGTTACTACTTTGGCCTGCAAGATAAATTCCAGACTTTTTCCAGTTATTAAAACTTCTGTTAGGCTTCTCATGTATCTAAATAAATGTCAGTTCTTTAAGCAGTTATATTAATCCGAACACTTGAAAGAATAAACACAGGACTTCTGTGTATTACCAAGCAGATCACAGGTGAGACCAGGCTGGCATTACCAGGTCCCAGTGTTTCAGAGCTGGAAGGGACCTGGTATTTACAACACAACGTCTGCTTTTACAGATGCAAACACTGAGGTGCTCAGAACAGACTTGACCAAGGTCACAGAGCGAATTTTTGGCATGGCTGGGCATGGAAATCAGATCTATTAAGTTGCTATTGATAATGCTCCACAGAACCATGAAGTGAAAAAGAGTAATAATAAGAGCAAAACAAACACTTTTTTCTTACCAACTGGACTTCACCAAAAGCACCTCTTCCAATAACTTTAACAACATCATAGTCTTCTGCCTTCATTTGTAGGCCTCTGATTTTTTTCACAATTTTCTCATCTATAATAAAAAGATTATCATTTATTAGCAGCACTATAACATAATCATCATATTTGTAAATAAGATTTTAGTTGAAGAAACTGCATTCCATTTTTAGCTAAATGTATTTTCTTACAGCTCCTGTTTAAAAAGTTAAAATATAAGTGCCGGTTCTAGTCCCAGCTGAACCTCTTCCAATCCAGCTCTCTGCTGTGTCCTAGGAAAGCAGCAGAAGATGGTTCAAGCATTTGGGACCCTGCACCTGCGTGGGAAACCTGAAGGAGGCTCCTGGCTCCTGGCTGCAGATCGCCCCAGCTCCAGCTGTTGTAGCCATTTGGGAAGGGAACCAGCAGATGGAAGACCTTTCTCTCACTGTCTGTAACTCTACTTCTCAAATAAATTAAAAATCTTTTTTAAAAAAGTAAAGATATGCATTAACCTTGCATTAAAGAGCCAAAGTGCTCCAGTTATTAACTACCATACACTACCACTACTGACTGCCGTAAGACAGCAATTCCAAGCAGGGCTTGTCTCAGTGGTTAAGATGTTCACAGCCCATCTGGGAGTGCCTGGTTCCGAGTCCCAGCTCCAGCCTTGGGTTCCAGCTTCCTTCTAATGTGCACCATGACTGGCACCAAGTCACGGCTCAAGTAACCGTGTCCCTGGACTGAGTTCCCAGCTCCTGACTTCAACCTAATACAGCCCTGGCCATTGCAGGCATTTGGGTAGTAAACCAGTGGAAGGGGAGTGGGGAGTGGAAGTGGGTGTGCGTGTGGGTGTGGGTGTGTGTCTCTGTGTGTGTGTGTCTCTCTTCTGTCCCTCAAATAACTTCTTAAACAGTAATAAAAGTTCCCCTATTTCTAACTCTGCTGCTTGGCAAGTTAGGTGACAGCACAAGGGTGACCCAAGCGATCCTGCGCATGCTGCATCATGGCAGAAAGCTGTCACTAAACTACTTCCAAGGATACTCTTAGGAATGAATTTTGACAGCCTACTTCTGCAAAGTCATAATCTTATATTACTTATCTTGTAGCCACAGACAAAATTGTTTAATTGGGGAATTATCCCAGTCTTTCACAATTCCAAATTAAACAGCTTACTGTGGTAACATGAAGTATACATTAAACACTGTGGGGATTTCTTAGAATTCGACTTCACTGATTTCTTTAGTAAATCACCAACACTGGCAAACATTAATGGTTATCATATATATATGGTAACAATTGTTGTTACGTTATTTTTCACTAACCAGCCTGAAATTTCCACACTTACAGAAACATAAAGCTTTTTAAGCATTCTAGGTAATAGAAAGCAAAGGTTTAGTGTTCTCAGTTTCAATTTAAAGCACCTCTCGTAACTACTATAAATAACCTGCCAAGATAGCTATTATGCTTGATAATTTATACAAAATTTTAAACTTTACCTACTTTAGTTCTGAAATTTTGCTTTTAAAATGAAGACTATTTGTTTATTAAAATAAATCAAATGGTGGGGGCAGGCACTACAGCCCAGGGGGTCAGGCTACTGCGTGGGAGGCCCACACCCCCTGTGCAAAGGCCTGGTTCAAGGTCCCGCTGCTCTGTTTCCTACCCAGCTTCCTGCTAAAGCGCAACCTGAGAGGCAGCAGATGCTGACTGAAGAACCTGAGTTCCACCCACACAGGAGACCAGGCTGGAGTCCTGGGCTCTTGGCACTGGCCTGGCCCAGCTCCAGCTATTGCAAGCATTTAGGGAGTGAATCAGTAGATGTTAAATCTCTCTCTCACTTTGTGTCACTCTGCCTTTCAAATAAATAAAAATAAATGTTTTTTAAGAAAAGTCTTTGTGACCTTTAAAAAAGATCAATGGTAAACTAAAAGACCTGAGTTTAGTAAGTTATTGGGTTTAGTAAATTGACTAAGTTAACTGTGGTATAATAATAAAAGAAATCTTTTGGAGCCGGCACTATGGCATAGCGGGTAAAGCCATTGCCTACAGTGCTGGCATCCATATGGGCACTGGTTCAATTCCCGGCTGCTCCACTTCCGATCCAGCTCTCCGCTATGGCCTGGGAAAACAGCAGAAGATAGCACAAGTCCTTGGGCCCCTGTACCCACGTGGGAGACCAGGAAGAAGCTCCTGGCTTCGGATCGGCACAGCTCCAGCCGTTGCGGCCAACTGGGGAGTATATAACTATGACTTTCAAATAAATAAATAAATCTTAAAAAAAAAAGAAATCTCTTGTCAAAAGCCTCATTATATGATCAAATAGGAAGTTTAAACATACTTACATCTATTTAAGAAATTATCTATGTTCTTGTTTTTTCTCAAAGCGGGAAAATCCAAATCAAGGACCAAGGAATTTAAACCATCCTGTCAAAAAATAAAAGAAAGAGAGTTTGTACAATTTCCAAGCAATCAAAACAGAAGTCTTTAAATTGTAACACATGTTGTTCTCTCTGGATAAACGCCAGCCCACTTTGAGGTGATACTGCCAAACTCTCTATCCGACACCTGTAAGTGGCCTTCTGACCTCTGCCCAAGGGCACTGGGCTTGACCCCGTCAAGTTTCCCTTTGTTCTTCCAGCCAACAGAGAAATGTCACTTATAAATATGTCTCCACAATTACTTTTGCTATTTTTCTCTCTTCAAATAATTAGTAAAACTTCAACAGGCTTTTGATTTTAAACAATGTACCTATACTAAGTAATCACTCATTTAACAAGCGTGAATTTTGCATTTACTTCATAAGAATAGAAAATCTAACAATAAATAAGACACTATCCTTATCCTCAGGGAACTCAACCTCTAAAAACAGGAAAAAAGGATGATGCAGTTTCTAGATTTCTATTTTCTTCTTTAAGTTTTCTGAATTTTCCAGACTTTTACAATGAGTATGCATTAGAGATTTATTATAGGAAAAAATACATACAAAATAGCAGGTGTGAAAAAAACTAAGGAGAAAGTAATTAGGTTTCAAATCACTCAGTGCATGTGCCAATGAAGGGAATAGCGTTTCTAAAATCCTATGATGGGGCTGGCACTGTGGCATAGCAGGTAAAGCTGCTGCCTGCAGCGCCGGCATCCCACACAGGTGCCAGTTTGAGTCCTGGCTGCTCTACTTCCAATCCAGCTCTCTGCTATGGCCTGGAAAAGCTATAGAAGATGGCCCAAGTTCTTGGCTCCTGCACCCTCGTGGGAGACCTGGAAGAGCTCCTGGCTCCTGGGAGTGAACCAGCAGATGGAAGACCTCTCTCTCTCTCTCTTTCTCTGCCTCTCCTTCTCTCTCCGTATAACTCTTTCAAATAAATAATTTTTTTTTTTTTTTAAGAAAAGTCCTTTGACACACATTGTCTCATCCCCAAGTAACTCTCAGGAGGGCAGGAAGAAATATCATCATTTGAGAGAGGAAGAAACAGAGGCTCCAGGCCAGCGCCGCAGTGTTAATGGGTCAAGTCGCTCCCGCAACACCAGCAACCTAGATGGGCGCCAAAGTCTTGACTGTTCACTTTCGCTCCAGCTCCTCGCTCATCCACCTGGGAAAGCAGGGAAGACAGAGTATTTGCGCCCCTGCCACTCGCAGATCCAGAAGAAGCTCTTGGTTCCTAGCTTCAGCCTGGTCCAGCCCCAGCCATTGCTGCCATCTGGGAAGTGAATCAGCAGATGGAAGATCTCAATTACTCTCTCTCTCCTCTCTCTCTCTCTCTGTAACTGTGCCTTTCAAAGAAACAAAATAAATCTTTTAAAAAAAAAAATTCCCCTGAGAAATTAAATGATTTTGACTTGCCCAAGGTCACATATTAAGAAACGATAGTGGCAGAATATAACCTAAATCTTAGAGGTTTGATATATTTAACTCATTCCCCTAGTTTCAGTGATCAGACTGACAGCCCACTAAAAAAATAAGGGAGCTGGGCAGGAAAAAGCAGGCTGAAGGACTGTAGAAAACTGTACAGCAATAAAAAGAAACCATCTGGGGCCTTGGTAAGGAGGTAACATGAGTGAACTTACATGTCAAACTGGAAAGGTACCCTGAGTTTTTATTTACTAATTCTAAAAGAACTGCACATTCTATGTTAACTACTCAGTTATTTCATAGTTCTAATTTTCATTCATTAAAAAGTCAACTTTAGGCCGGTGCCGCGGCTCAATAGGCTAATCCTCCGCCTTGCGGCACTGGCACACCGGGTTCTAGTCCCGGTCGGGGCACCGGATTCTGTCCCGGTTGCCCCTCTTCCAGGCCAGCTCTCTGCTGTGGCCGGGAGTGCAGTGGAGGATGGCCCGAGTGCTTGGGCCCTGCACCCCATGGGAGACCAGGAGAAGCACCTGGCTCCTGGCTTCAGATCAGCGTGGTGCGCAGACCGTGGCGGCCATTGGAGGGTGAACCAACGGCAAAAGGAATACCTTTCTCTCTGTCTCTCTCTCTCTCACTGTCCACTCTGCCTATCAAAAAATAAATAAATATAAATAAATAAATATATAAAAGTCAATTTTATAAAAATTCAATGAAAGGGGCAAAAATGTTAAGAGAAAATTAACATTTTTAATCACAATTTATATCCCTTTGATATCTGATTCAGACACACAGAATAACCTTGATGTTTCAGAATATGGGAAAAAGTATTCAAAAAGTGAATTTCCAATTTTAAGTCAACTTGCAAGTAAATCACATTTGAAATACCTTCTTCCCTCCCCCACAATTCCCTTCTGAGGAGAGCTGAACTACCAACCAAGGATTCCAGCATTGGATCATTCCAGGCTATTTTTAAGTGACCAAATATTAATATGCTTTACTGGCATTTTGATATTTTAATAAGTTTAAAATGTAAAATTGAAGTCATTTACATTTTCAGATGTGTCTAGATTTATATTCTGCATTTCAATTTCAAAAAAGTTGTATTCACTTGGAAAGCATTCTTCCATACCTCTATCAACCTCAACAGGAAGAAAATGTTTAAACTAACAAGAAAACCTTCTAGTGTAAGAATACAGGAAGGCTTCAAAAGGTTAACGGGAAAATGGAATTAAAGATAAGTTTATTTTGGTACAAAAAGTTTTAAGGCCCATGCACAAATGTTTCCATGTGTTTTCCATGAACTTTTTGAATACCCCTCTATATCTTCCTCAGAGACTTTTCAAACAAATGAACACTTCATACTGAAGTGATGAGCTGGCTGTATTAAAACCTCCATTTACAAATAAAGACAAAAGAAACCTTTTTTTGAAACAACACTACAGCTTGACATCAACAGAAAGGCCGAATCTTTGCTTCCTCTACAACTTCGCAAAAGTTCTGTTAGGATTATGCAGATTAAATAATCAAGAAAAAAATTGGAAATAGCTAACAAATATCTTCTCCTAGCATCCCCCACAAGGGTGAAGCCAGAGAGCTTCTTCAGCAGCCAGAATATTTGAGCAGTTTCTCAACAATCTCATTGTTTTTAAAACTATTTTTAAAGATTAATCGTGTGTCATACATTTATTTTTATGAAATGTTCATTTTAATGTGATATTTTTATTTGCTAACAATTTTTATTAGAATACAGGTGGTATTACATTTATTTATAAACTTAATTTTTACTTGATGTTTTACATTAAAAAATTTTTACATCTGAAGCATGCTATATTAACTATCACTTTTAAAGAAACAGGTTCTGGGTTAGTTTCAGATACCAGTGTTTCCAGAACATGGCATTAATAACTGAGACCCAGTCACTGTGCAGGCTGGGTTCTCTCAGGACTTCACTGTAAGCCTATGTCTGTGACATATCTGAATATGCAGTCTCATATAAACCTTAAGCAGTGTCTTTTAGTGTCTACGATTTCAGCTTGTATGGTTAGTTTCTTAAAAAGTGATAAACTGAGATAAAGAAAATTTTAAAAAATAAAGCTACATTCAAGAAAAGCCTACAATCAAAGCTTCAAAGCACGTAAGAAAATTGACACTCTGCGGCCTTCCCAATTCAATTTCATGTATGTGTCAGGAGAACAGCTGAAAGTCATGGCTACACTGAAACAAAACACACCATCAACCACCACCAAATACACAAGGATCAAAAAGAAAAATGCCGGGCAACACGTAAGAGTGAACTCACACAGACCTCCTGGATTTCAGGTCAGGAAGCAGCAAGACCAATAACGGAGGGCCTAAGTGGGTGAGGGGTGAAAACCAGATTGCTACGAAACCAGTATCTGCTGAGAAAACCCCAGCTCCTAAAAGACACACACTGAAAAGTCTTCTACCCAAGCTTTACAGGAAACTGAACAACAAGGTAGGCTGTTGCGATCAATCCGTAAGTCAAGTGCCCTGCTCACCCAGTTCCTGGAGCTCCCAAATCACTACTACTACTGCCTCAGAAATGTGAATCACCTCCAGCGCAACAACGGATCTGTCCACGTGTGGAAAAGCTGCAGCAGAATAAGGCAGGGGAAGGTGTGCCAGCATCCCGCTTTTGAGAACACACGGGTAAGCCGACCAGTTTCTCCCAGATGGTTAGGAGGCTTGAAAATACATACACATATATGGAAAACTGCCCATTTTCCTAACTTTCCCTGAACACTGAAACCTTTCATACTTTGGGTGTCAAGAAGGAATGAAGAACTGGGCTTGATTTTGCTTTCACTACCCACTGCTTCTTAGCAGTTTTTAAATATCTAAATAAAATGCTACAGAGTAGGGGACAGAAAGGACAGAGGTCGGAAAGACTCCTCTAACCAGGAAAAGTCTGAAGTAACAAGCAAAATGACAGGGATACACACCTAGCAACTCCAGGCACTCGGTGCAGCTAAGATTTGGAGCACGGCAACCTGTCACAAGAGATCAAGTGTGGATCTTCCTTTGGTGGTACCCTGCTGGCACTTGAAAAGCTCTGGATTTTGGATTTTGAGATTACGATGCTCAACCTGTATGAATTCGTAAGCTACTGTCTATCTGCTCATACAGCAAAGTTCTGAATCTGAAGAGTACCTCACCTGGAGAAAACTATGCCACACCAACTGATTTGCTTTCATGTATCCATCAGCTGAATAAAAGCTCTAATGTTTAATCTGTAACTCTGTATAGCATTGTAAGTACATTAGTCCAAGACCTGTCAGTTAAATCAAATGACTAAATGTATTCCATCACTTAACAAAAAAGAAGCATTACTCGACTTTAGAGATTTTTTTTAAGAAAAGTTAACAAGAAACCATAGAGTACAGATGCCAGTGTCTCCCACATTTGTGTCGGATAGATTTGATTCACCCATAAGCTTGAGAGTCTAATGAAGCCTCAGAGCCGTTCTCCTGTTTGCTTGCACAATCCTTAGCCACTTTGCTCACCTAGATGTGTCTGTCACTCTAGGAAAGTCAGCTCTTCAGATTGCCTCAAAACA